TGCAGAAACTCAGAAGAAAGTGATGCAAAAGACAATGAACAAAAAGACACGAGTGTTTCTAATTAAAACAGGAACTTTCAGGGACACCCATAGGGTCCTACGGAGTATGCACAGTGATAAAACTCCCTCATCTGGGCCGCCCTTACTCCGCATTTTGGGGGAAACGATACAACATTCTCAGGATGCTTTTCCTCTACATGTTATCTGACACCACCGGCGACCTTTTGTCACATCAATACTTCTTAAGGACCTGAAAGTGTCCCGCGGGGGCGTCTCAGTCTCTTGTTTGTCGACTGGCATCCTATTTTTCTGTCGATCAGAGGCCGTTCCCATTCGTCTCAAATGGCTCAATAAGAGGCCTCGCCTTTGATAACAGCTCCGTCGCAAGTTACGAGTCTGGCAACGGGGATAACAGAGAGACTAGAAGGGATGCCAGCAGATAAAAGAGGACTTAACCAGCCTCTGTGTGTTCAGCAGGTGGTTTTCTGTCACCACATCCATTTGAGAGCGACGCCGTAAAAGCAGGAAGAAAAAAAAACACACGTAAAAAATCCTTTTCATCTCATCCTGCTGATAATCTGGAGCATCTGAAGGCTCTGATTATAATTCACGTCTCTCTGAAAGACAACAATAGAGTGGTGACAGTTTTCCCTGTTGTCACCATTGTTCACAAGCATCCCACGAGAGCCAGAGAGGCTAATTGCTGTGTGGCGGTCGCTGCAGTTCACAGTCTCACAGTGAGTGTGACAGGCAGATGGAGGGTGATTTTTAGGAATGAAGCATACGGGCGAAAGTGCTTAGAGCGGGCAGCTCAGATGGGATTACAGACTCAACACATGCAGCATGCTGTCTATTGACCCAAAACAGCAAAAGTGAGGTTCCCACACACTCCAAAACATATTATCCTGACTTAAACAGAAGGCAGCAGCTTTGGAATGAACACATGCTGGATTTAAAATAACAACAATATTTAGCCTCTTAGAGTAAGTGACGGACAGAATCAAAGTCTCACACTCGGACTTTCAGACCGGCCGTGTGTGTGTTTATCTTCTGGGCACTTTTTGTTGTTGTTGATACTATGAAGAGTTTTTCTTTCTGACTAGAACACCTCTATCATGTATCAGTTATATTAAAATGAGACAAAAACAAACAACAACAAAGAAGTCCCTCATTGATTATTGATGATATTCTTTGTACAGCTTACACAATGCATCCTGAGCATTCACAGTGTGTGTGTGTGTGTGTGTGTGTGTGTGTGTGTGTGTGTGTGTGTGTGTGTGTGCGTGTGTGTGAGACACTGCTTCATTTCTATTGTTGTTACATAGCAAATGCAAAGTCACTGTCAGGGTGAGAGTGGCAGCCTGAATCGCTTCTGCTGGATAAACACTCCCAGCATGCACTGCTTTGCCTCAGTCTGCGCATTGCTGCATTGGCAGCATCCTGGAAGGATTCTGAGGTGTTTCAGTTCAGAAGCAGATCTGTGTGTGTGCAAGTGCAGAAATGCTTCAGTCTGCACCAGACTGACGGTGGAAGATGAAACTCAAGCTGAACAAAATGACACTCATCTTGGTTGCTCTGCAGCTATAAGACTAGTTTGATATTTAAGTTTATTTGTGTTAAAAAATGTTTTTAAATGTTTACTTTAGAAAAAAGATGAACAAAAAACGAGATGTGCTTTAAGAACTGAAGAGAAGGAAAGACTTAGGCATATGTGACTTCAAGGCAGAGCTTGTTCCATGACTCATAACTAACACACACACACACACACACACACACACACACACACACACACACACACACACACACACACACACACACACACACTGAGAGACAACAAAGCAACAATAAAAAATGAGCACTATGTGCTGCAGTGTTACTCAGACAGAACCCAAATCCCACATGTGGAACGAGTCCTCTCACTGCCAGCGACTGAAACCTACACTGGCTGAACAACTGCAGCACACAGTGAGTGGTCGTGTACTGTCACTCAAAATCACAATCAAGAGCCGACCGTAACATGTGTCCAGGTAGGGGAGTGAGAGGGGGAGGAGGGGTGTTTCCATCTGAGAGCTGAGAAAGTGTAAAACACCGACTCTGAAGCTCAGATATGCTCCGTGTCAAGCAGGACTCAAGGAGTTAGGTTTAAAATACTGCAGGTCATCAAATATTAAGGACACCTTCTTGTTTTATTTTTTCGTGTTTGTAGAGCTATAGAGGTAAGCTGTAGAACATTTAAAAGTACTTCTTTTTTTGTGATGAAGTTGCTTTTCTACAGCCTAATTTTCTCCTCTGTGAAAACGATCATGGGTAAATTAGGATTTCCATCTAGAAAAAAACAAAAAGTACCAACTAATGAACAAAATCTCAGGTGGTAGAGGGTTTTGATCCTATGCCTATTTTATATGTTACATTTACATTTTTAAAGTCTTTCTGGAACATCTCTGTTGTTTATTTATTTTTCTGAAGCACAGGTTTTATTTCATATCAGCTCATCGTCCGTTTTCAAACTGCAAAACCAGCCGATAAAAGTTCGACTGAAGCAAAAGAGATAAAAAAAAGCCTCATTTCAGAATGTCTCTGTGATAAGAACACCCAAAACACTTGTGATGTTTATCACAGACACACACACACACACACACACACACACACACACACACACACACACACACACACACACACACACACACACACACACACACACACACACACACACACACACACACACACAGGTACACGCGCACACTTTTGCACACACAAGCGCACACACACACACACACGGACACACACACCAACAAAGAGAGAAATACTGCATTTAGAGCTTCTCTACATCTATGTGGGCCTCATGCCAGAGCCACGTGTCTATGGGGGTTCTCACAGAGGTCAATACTACAACACTGTAAACTAATGATCCAGCAAATTCCCTCAGTCCACCCCCCCCCCACCTCTTCCTCCTTTGCCCCCCCCCCTTCCACCTCTTCCTCCTTTGCCTCAATCTGTTGCTGCCCTCCATCTACTCTCCCCTGCTGCGCTGCTGAAATGAGAAGCAACCGAAGGCTCTGCTCCTCTGATGCAAACTGCTGATAAACAAGTCTTCTTGTTAAGAGACAAAAAAAAACGTTGGCCTGCTTGATATTTTTCCCTTTCATCTACTGTCTCCTCGCTACCCATTCCTTTATTGTAGCATGGCACTGACGCCCAACGGATCGGCGCTCTTACAAAAGAATGTAAACACAGATAATGAGATGATCTGCAGCTGTGTTTTAAACCGGGAAACTTGAGAAGTTCAGTGCACACTGTCTGGGGAAGTCAAGTTTTGTCTGCACTTTTTACGTCCAAAAACTATATTACGCTTTATTAAATAGACACAAGTTGAGCACTAGGACCAAGTGGCGGTGTGTTAATCGCTGTGTGTCTCCTCATATCTCTCACTGGTTTTGTAGATAGTTTTTATCACATCTGTTCGTATAGTGATTATGCAACAGGAGCATAAGAAACATGTCTCATTATATAGTATTGGGTAATTCAAATGGGATGGAGTCTAGAGTCTTTGTAGCAGCAAATGTAGTTCTATAGGTTTCTAGAGATTTGGTATGAACTCCTCCACTTGGGGAACCAAACTTTATGTTCACCTTTAAGCCTAAAACTGTATCCAAAGAGATAAAAACAACCTAATAGTGAAAGAACACCACTGTCAGTTACTTTATTAAAGACTTCATGTTGAGAAGAAACTAGTGAACTTTTCATTTAGCTAAAAAGTTGATCAAAGTACCAAAGCTGCCTTCACACGTCTGATGTGAACTCAGAAGTTTCCAAGGGATTTGTTTTAATGCTGATGCTGCATAAACCCGCACTTAGAAATTACTGCAACAAGAGTGAAAAATAAACATTGTGAGGAAATGTGATATAATCTGCCAAAATGTCTTTGATGTAGATATTCTGCATCTACAGTACAGCTGCTCTGATCTCCACATCAATCAAGTCCCGACCTCCTCTGTTGTTGTTGTCTTGTAAATTGATCTGTTCCTGTAGATTAATTGACTCAGCACCATCTGAGTTTTCCAGGGGATGTTCCCAATAGGACACTTCATAAAAAAGAAACAAATAAACAAAAAGGTGTAACTCCAGAGAAAAGTCCTGCTAAAGTTGTAGAGGAGAAGCTGCCTTTATGATCCAAGATAAGACATCAATAGATCAAGCATCCTAGCAGGATGATTCCAGGATGCACACACTCATTTATGATTCTATACTCTAAACCAGTTTTTCTGAGTAGCCTAAAACATTCTTACACATATAACCACCAAAACTGTTAAAAGTGTCACTAAGACGCCACGCTACAGTCTCACTGCCTTGTTACCCCTCCGTGACTCTGTCTCTTCCCTCCAATAAAAAAAAAAAAAGTCTCAGAACATCGCATCTCCACGAAAACCCGCTGGTCTGTTCAATTCAATCGACGGTTCCGGACCCGAACATGACTAATTTCACCCTGTGGGTGGATTTTACGCTCCAGAGCTGCAACACGGCGCAGACTTGATTCTCCGACAGTAAACGAGTTCGTGCAAAAGTGTTCAGCAGCAGCTGCTCCAGATCGGATCGGAACATCTCATCCCAGGAAAGAAGCTCAATAACAGACGGATGGATGCTTAAAATATGAACTCTAGAAAAACACGCAGAAGAGAAAACGCCACTGATTCAACATTTCCGTCTTATAATAATAATAAAACTAGCCTACTACTACTAATAATAATATCAACAATAATAAAGGCATACATGTCACTTTAAACATTAATACTGTTTATTATTCTAAACATAAGAACATCCGATGTCCCTGATTTAAAATAAATGCAGCAGTTAAGTTTCGGAACCAGGCGAAGCGCGCTGGCTGAGCGCAGCGCTCCACGCCGCGCACAGACTCTCCTTGTGCCCTCCCCTACCGACTCCCCCCGGCCGCTCAACAACTTCCCTCACAGCCGCAGTTTCCTCCCCCCATAAATAAAACTTACTTTTCTCTGGCTTGGCTGTCGGACGGCACGTTGCTACTCTTGCCTTTGGCGTACATGCTTGCAGAGAGCTCCGACTGTCACGCACCTGTCAACCCATCACAACCTCCCTGGGCACAGCCCCGTCACCATGGCGACACAAGCAGCGTCGTCTCCCATTGGATGTCCCGCTGTGCAGGACCGCCTGCTCACCATGGTAACGAAGAGTGAGTGACACCAGCAAGATCACGCCCAGCTCACCAGCTCAGGGCAACCCCCCCCCCCCCCCCCCCCCATCCCTTTTCAGATTGGAAAGGTTTTCCTCTCTCTCTCTCTCTCTCTCTCTCACACACACACACACACACACACACACACACACACACACACACACACACACACACACACACACACACACACACACACACACACACACACACACACACACACACACACACACACACACACACACATCTGCAGTCCCTCCCTCTCGTTCTCCTCCTTGAGAGCTGTGGGGGGATTTGAAACCATCCAGTTAAGATTTTGGCTGTTCTTTTCAAAGACTATCACACCCTCCTCTATCAACACAAACAATACATTTCAATCCGACTTTATTTACATTCAAACCCATTAGGATCGGAGCATGTTGGGAATGGGAACACCACTGTGGGTCTGTACAGAACATCACCAACAGGCGGGGAGAAAATGTTTGTTCCCAACACACGGAACGCTGCCTGCTACAGTGGTGCTGCCCAGGAGGAATACCTCAATGTCACGCCAACATAACCCTGAACTGCTGGATGCAGACCCTAAAAGTCTCACTTTTATTACAAGTCTAGCAGTACAAAATCTATGCGGTTACTGGAGCAGATGTGTGTGTTTTACACACTAATAAGTGCTTCGTCATGCTGCTGTCCAGCTTGGCAGACTACAGGGAAGAGGGCTCTGTCCGCTGTCAAAAATGTTCTCATCAGAAGTCCCTCAACTAAGGCGGTACAAGGGGAGAGAGATGCACATCACCTCAGTTTGGTGCCATTTAAGTGTAACAAACACTACAGACTGACATACAAAACAGCTGACTGTCTTACTGTTGTGTGTGTGTGTGTGTGTGTGTGTGTGTGTGTGTGTGTGTGTGTGTGTGTGTGTGTGTGTGTGTGTGTGTGTGCACGCTGAGGGCATAGCACAGGGGCAGCGGTGTTTATGCTTACGCAATGCTCCTGTGATGTGACCTAGTTGGAATGGATGCATGCTGCCTCATTCTTTCCTGTTTTCAGTCTTCTTCTTCTGTCTCCACCCCCCTCTTTTACTGTCTCATCCCTCCTTCCTCGGATGAAACACCTTTCATTCTCTTCTCCCTCTCTATCTTTCACCCCTCCTCCTCCTCCTCCTCCTCCTCCTCCTCCTCCTCTTCCACTACTCTCCTCTCTTTCCTCTGGGGAAAAAGGAAAATGTTCTATTTAGACGAGGAGAACTTTTGGTTTTGGGATGAGTCCCTCAGGGTCGATCACCATGACAACCCCTTAAAGACGATAAGCATGTGTACCAGAGGATGCAGAGGAAGAAAGAAAGAGAGAAACAAGGGAGATGGAGAAGAAAAGGGTTAATGGGTCAGGAAAAAACAAACAGACGGACAGATGATAGATAGATAGATAGATAGATAGATAGATAGATAGATAGATAGATAGATAGATAGATAGATAGACAGACAGACAGACAGACAGACAGACAGACAGATAGATAGATAGATAGATAGATAGATAGATAGATAGATAGATAGATAGATAGATAGATAGATAGATAGATAGATAGATAGATAGATAGATAGATAGATAGATAGATAGATGATAGATAGATAGATAGATAGATGATAGATAGATAGATAGATAGATAGATGATAGATAGATAGATAGATAGATAGATAGATAGATAGATAGATAGATAGATAGATAGATAGAATCTATCTATCTATCATCTATCTATCTATCTGATAGATAGATAGATGATAGATAGATGATAGATAGATAGATAGATAGATAGATAGATAGATAGATAGATAGATAGATAGATGATAGATAGATGATAGATAGATAGATAGATAGATAGATAGATAGATAGATAGATAGATAGATAGATAGATGATAGATAGATAGATAGATAGATAGATAGATAGATAGATAGATAGATAGATAGATAGATAGATAGATAGATAGATAGATGATAGATAGATAGATAGATAGATAGATAGATAGATAGATAGATAGATAGATAGATGATAGATAGATAGATAGATAGATAGATAGATAGATAGATAGATAGATAGATAGATAGATAACATTTATTGATGTCACACAAAAAACACAAGACACACAAAACAGAGCCTGAGTAACAGCTATTAAACCAAAGTAAAAACTAAATCTCTAGTCTTTTCTAACAAGTATCTCCAGTTGGTGGCATCATCCTGCCTACCGTATATCTAAACTATGTCTGCAGGGACCTTGAACTTGCTGGTCCACTGACAAACTCCCATTATAAATCTTTTTTTCACTGATCAAAACAATAAGAACAGTGAGAGAGGGCAGCCACTCCAACTGCTGGTGTGTTTGTTTGCCCTTAGAACTTTTGCCTTTGTTGATGCATTCAATAGACGTTAAAGGGGAACTAGGCTGTTTTGGCTTGCTTTTAGCACCCTGTAGTGTTTGTTTGTCAAACCAAAACCTATCTCCTTGTTGTGGGTTCGTCTTTTTATCACCTTACTCTAATGGCTGAAATGTCTCCCCAGCCTTCCTTAGTGTCTACAGGAGAGATGCATCACAAAATGAAACAAATCAGCTGTGTTCGTGATCTAAAGCATGCAGGAAACGTGCAAGAAGCAGACTGCAGTACCAGATGTCAGCGCAATTTTTGCCTAAATCTCAACAGAGCGGCCCACCAGTCTGAAGTGGCAAGTGGAATATTCTCGCCCCAGAGGGTGATAGGGGCTGGGTGGCATTTCATTAACCCTGTAAATGGTCATTTTAGCACATACTGGCTCAAGAAAATGATTTAAATATATGAAAAGGTTGCAAAGTACCCTTTAACTGGTTTAAAGGTGCATTAAGAAATAATGATATCATGTGGTCAAATGTGGGTACTACAGTCCATGTATCTAAACATAAAAAGTCAGCCACCTAAGTCATTCACAGTAGTACGTTGATAAGTAGAAAAATACATTTCACTTTATCATTGAGTTGTTGGTAAACAAAAAAGTAGCTTGAGATACTTTTAGAGCCAACTATTTGTTTATATTTCACCATTAGCATTGTTAGCTCAATGTTAGCATCTTTCCTTCTTCACCTGATTAGAGTAAAACAAAAGGATGTTGTGGCTTCTGAGTACAAGAAATAACTTTTGGCCTGCCCTTTTTACTGGCTAACATTCTGTCCATGACGCTTCTGCATTTTGGATTACAAGTGCCGGAGCAGCCATGTTTGCTGGTATAGACCTGGCAACTCTGCAAGGTTCATATGTGATTGGATTTTAAACCAGGAAGCTTGGAGGCAAAACAGATTTGTAAACAAAGATTACGCCCCTCTTTGGTCTTTTTAAAAGAAGAAAACCAGGCTTCCACCCAGCTGGTTGAGAAGGTTTCAATGTAACCTTCCTTCCAACACGATTGAGACATCAGGCTGTTTTGTGATTATTTCACTGTAGAATTCTTACTTATTGCACCTTTAAGATGTTAGATCCTTTTAGATTTATTTTCTAAACATCTCTAGACTGTTTCCCCAGCTAGAATCATCACTTTCAGAAAAAACACATTTGAATCACAATCATGGAATTATATCACAATAGCTCTGATTTTCCATCGTTTTTCCTCTTTGGCACACTTTTTCATTTTTGTTGCATCACATTAAAACACATTTAGAGAAAACACTTTCTACAATTTGGCATTGTAGCAAGGAGCTATTGTGAACCAAGCCTGTGGATGGGTGTTGTAATTGTATTTTCCTACTCTCTGTTAGCTAACTTAGAAATGGAAATTGGCAAACGATTACCCCCTCACACAAGAGGCATTCTCCAGATTCAACTGTGGTAAAGTTTGCAAAAGCTTGAGGCTGAGTGAATAATTTAGAGTGAATAGTGCACCATGCTTTTCTTTGTGCACTTTTACAGAAGAGCTGCTGCTGGTTTTGAGACCAGAGCTGTGCAACAGTTGTTTTCCTGATGTATGTAAAAGCGGACGAGCTGATCTCCAAACGCTGCCTCGCCTGCTCTAATCCTCTGCTGAAATATTCACTTGTTACAAAAACAAAATGCCCTGGACACACAACACAAGCACAGATAAGTCACATGGTCATTCAGCACTGGCAGTCATGAATTATTCACAGCGACAAATGTGTACAGACGCGCTGCTTGCACAAACACATGCAGTACACAGGAGAAATGAAGCTAAACTCCTCGGTCACGGTCTCCTCTGGTCCAGATGCTCCTGGAAACGGCCTCCTCCAAACAGCCTGTTTCCTCTTTGCACATAAATACAAATCTTAAAGTTACATCTATAAAAAAATACAAATTAGTTGATATGCAGAGCAAACTGAGTAAACTTACAACATATTTTTGTGTCAGGAGTCAATACAATTATGCACACCAGGCTGTGAAATAAACTCTGCATTCAAGGAAAACATGTTTGCTTTCCAAATCTGATGCAACAGGAAAGCAAGAGACGAAAACATCCTAATAAGTCTAATTCCAAAACCTTGCAGATTTTATGATATCAAAAGTTTACAGGTTTTGAAAATATGATCCCTGCTGTGCCGACTCCTCTGTTCTTGTGCTGGCTGACTCAACAGATTAAAGCTCGACTGCAGAATAGCCTGTCTGTTCTTAGCAGGGAAGTCAGGCGGCTAATACGTGTTTAACTGGAAGTGTGGTTCAAGGAAGCTTTTTATCACAGATGCAACCGTGCATGTGGATCTGATTCTTTAGTGTCACTCTTTTCATAAAGAAAATAAAAGCATTTGCTCATGGAATGCATACTCCCTTGCCTTCCGAAAATAAAATCATCTTGAGCTCTCAGCCTTTTTATGAGGTATCTGCTCAAAAATGACATTCCCACAATTTAATGAGTATATTTCTGTAACCACAAAGTCTATTTGATTGCTTTTGGTCTAATTGTAAAGTACAATCTTGTGGAATTTGTTGAGATGAATAATATTATTATATGTGTCACTGATTAAGTGTAAATAGACATCGAACATT